AAAAAAAAAGTTTTGGATCCCTTGTGGGAGAAAGGTAGGATAAAGGTATCCAAAACATAAAATGTATGAACTAACATCAATGAAACTAGTGTCGCCAGCTGAATCTGATAGAACATCTGAAGCAGGGAGTCACGCACCTACCCTGTAGTGCAATACCCGAGCTCCAGAAACATGAATCACTCAAGCTTCCTGTGTTACTGCCCAGCTTGTATGAACTACAACAGCGCCACATACTCATCTTGGTTTGAAAATCTAACTGTTTGGTGTAGTGGTTAAGTGCGCGGACTTTAATCTGGGAGAACCGGGTTTGATTCCCCACTCCTCCACTTGCACCTGGCTGGATGACCTTGGGCAAGCCGTAGTTCTGATCAGAGCTGTCCTTGAAAAAGAGCAGCTTCTGTCAGAGCTCTCTCAGCCCCACCTACCTCACAGGGTGTCTGTTGTGGGGAGGGGGAGAGGAAGGGAAAGGAGTTTGTAAGCCGCTCTGAGACACCTTTAGGTAGTGATGGGCGGGGCATAAATCCAATCTCTTCTTCTTCTTCTATATAAATTACGTTCAACAAATGAGTGTAGTCTAATCCTCATTGAGGTAGTCAACATGCTGTTTGGATTATACCACTTCTGACTGCTGCCAGGAGTACTCATGTATAATTATCCTCCATTTAAAAAAAACACCTTCTGTCCACAGACAAATCTAGACATCAGAGACATACTAGCTTTCTATTTTCAAGGAATTATTCATGTACAGAAAAGCTTTTCCGTTCAGCCTTTACATCCCTCCGTTTCCAAACTATGCAAACAGCAGTGCTTGAAGGCCCATATACCAAAACACCCGCAACTGAGCGCCTTTGTATATGTGGCGGCTCAGTTCCTGGAGATCTGTGTCATTACCTGCTGGATTGTCCACTCTATTCATCCCCAAGAAAGAAGTTTCTTGGCACAATCTTAGATAAGCTGGGCCCCTGCTCCACATCCAGAAAAGTTATAACTTTACTCGCAGAAGTAGAGCCAGAGTATTCATACAAGGTTCCACTCTTTGCTCTAGAGGCAAAGAAAATCCAAAGTTGAGTAATTCCTCTCTTGCTAAATAGCCAGGGCTATGTGAAGGTCCTTTTCAGTCATTTTATCCCAAACCTTATATTTATTTTGTATGTTTTACTTTTTATCTTGTATTATTTTGTCTTGTATAATTTTAAGCTTATAACCAGTTTCATGCTACACACACACATATTTTTATTTCTTGTGTTTTGATTCAGATCCTATTCTCTATTTTATAACTTGTATTGTATTTGTAACAGCCATTGGTCATATGCAATAAAACGAACTGAACTGACAGAAAAGCTTTTCAGCATGTAAGCCAGTTTGGTGTAGTGGTTAAGTGCGCGGACTCTAATCTGGGAGAACCGGGTTTGATTCCCCACTCCTCCGCTTGTACCTGGCTGGATGACCTTGAGCAAGCCGTAGTTCTGATAAGAGCTGTTCTTGAAAAAGAGCAGTTTCTGTCAAGAGCTCTCTCAGCCCCACCTACCTCACAGGGTGTCTGTTGTGGGGAGGGGAAGGGAAAGGAGTTTGTAAGCCGCTCTGAGACACCTTTGGGTGGTGAAGGGTGGGGTATAAATCCAATCTCTTCTTCTTCTTCTACTTGCAGTCTGACATCCTGAAGCCCAGACAAAAGATTATTCCCGCTCTGAGAGAGATCCAGATGGGTGGCCATGTTCGTCTGTCTGTAGCAGTAGAAAAGAGCAAGAATCCAGTAACACCTTAAAGACTAACAAAAATTGTGGCAGGGTAGGAGGCTTTTGTGAGTCACTGCTCACTTCTTTATACCAGGAATCTGAAGAAGTGAACAGTGACTCACAAAGGCTCATACCCAGGCACAAATGTTGTTAGTCTTTAAAGTGCTACTGGACTCTTGCTCTTTTCTGCTTTGAGACAGGATGCTGAAGAGGACAGCACTCAGTGACTAACTTACTTGTTTTCTAGGTTGATGACAGGCTTTGTTTCCTGTTCTACAGGAAGCCATCTGTGAAACTGGGTTGCATTTCAGGTTAAATCAGTGATGCCACGCGTGAGAAATACTATTAAAGCTGCCAGTTCATATTTAGTTTTGAGATGTCTCATGAAAGCTACAGGAGACCAATAACAAGTACATACCCGTTAGGAAGAGTGGGCCCGAGAAGTCCACAGGCTGCACACTTCACCAGATCACTGATGACATCCGATAAGCCAGGCAGTTGTGGCGGGGGGCAGCCCACAGGTAAGGCAGAAAGGCTGCTGAGCGTAATGGGAGCAGATGGCAATAGTGAACACCTGAATGCAGTAAGGGGTGGGTGCATGGTACCTCGCCAAGCGTAATGACAGGCATGTGCTGTGCAGCAGTCAATCAGCACGAGTATCCTACCTCACGTAATCGGGTTTACTGGGGCAAAATCTCAGCTGTGCTTGGGACTTCATCTACACGCAGCACTATCCCCATCTGGGATCTGAACCAGGAGTCTGGGGTATGCTGTATTTGTACTCTTCCAGTTTCCACGGTGCTTTGCACTTCTCAGCAGTCTTCCCTAACCTCCTGTATACGGCGGGCATCAACTACATGGCTGCTGGGTTATCTCTAGTGCCCCTGTCATGCCTTGATCCTGTGACCCCAGTTGAGTGAAAGGTTACAAGACTACTCCTGAGCATGTATGGTGTGGGCTCTAGTCTGGCTTCTCCTTCCTGTTTTAAGGCTAGCCACAAGGTGAGCTTTGACTTCTTGACAGAATCTTTTCACAGCAAACCCACGTTTCACAATTGCCACAATGGTGCCCATTCCTAAGCAAGCTATTGTGGGGAGGGGCAGACAGGAAAACCATGTAGTTGTACAGTCTGCATTTCTCTTACCTGGCAAAAGCCTGGCACAAGATCTGAACTCGTGTGTCTGAAATACCTGGGCAGCTCTATCAGTTTGACCCCTCTGCGTGAGCAACAGAAGCGTGTGAATGCTGTGCCTGGAGTGGTCATGTTGCTTCCCATTTGTGCACTCAGCAAAAAGGAGCTTTGTTGCAGGACTGGACTTCAACCCACATCTGAAGAGCACCCTGGAGCTTATTCACCCCAGAGCTTCTTTCAGTCACAACTATCTGCTTCCAGTAGGGCAGCGTGTTCCCTTTCTTTTTTCTTGGTATCTTCTGTGTCAGGGCATCAGAAGCACAGGATAAGGGGGCGCAGAGGCAGGCAATGGCTAACCACCTCTGAACGTCTCTTGCCTTGAAAACCCCATGGGGTCAGCACAAATCAGCTGTGAGTTGACAACAACAAGAAAAAAAACAAGGGGAAGCATGGGCACATCAATCAACATAAGGCTGGTGGTTTGCAGCAGAGCTATGAATTCTAGTGCTATCAGTATGCTCTCTGCCCCATGCTGCCGGGGTGTTTGTCACACACTTCCCCACTTGGGAGGGGCCATGGCTCAGTGGTAGAGGATTTGCTTGTCATGCAGAAGGTCCTAGTTTCCATCCCCGGCATCTCTGGCTAAAAAGGGGCCAGGCAGTAGGTGATGTGAAAGACCTCCGCTTGAGACCCAGGAGAGCCACTGCCAGTCTGACCGGACAGTACTGACTTCAATGGACCAAGGGTCTGATTCAGGATCAGGCAAGCTTCATGTGGTGCACGTTACAGAGCATGCATAAGGTATCCTGCTGGCAGTGCTGCCACCATGCTAGCAATAATGTGGGTCAAAGAAGACTAACCCGTGCAGACAGCAAGTTTACTAAAAACTGCTCTGATATGTCTCAATTTTTATTCTGGCATTTTTATACTGATTTTCTCCCCAAAGGGGACTCAAAGCAGCCTACAAAAATACAGTTTAAATAATCAGAAGTAAACCAAGCCCAACTAAGATAATTTAAAAAGTACAATAGTCCCCACTTTGCAGGATGGCCCAGCCCAATTCCTTAGCAGCCAGCACTGTACCTTCTACATTAGATGTGACCTTGTGATCTGTACAGTCTTGCTTGCTTTCTCTTTTTATAGCTGGTTTTTATATGGCTATGTACTTTTAAACTCTATTGTTTATATTGTGCTGCAGTGTAACCTCATGAGCTGGCCACTTCTGAGCTAAACAGCAGAATATGAATTCCGAAAAGCTGAATGTATGAAGAAGCTTGGTAAATCAGATACGCAGGTCACCAGTTCAATCTCTGACATCTCAATTTAAAAGGATGTAAGGCTTGGGAAAAGTCCTCCATCTGATACTCTGGACAGTCACTGCTAGTCACTTTCAACAAGAGTGGAATGCATAAGGCATTCAAAACAATAGCCGAAGCATCACATTAACATGGCTCAAGCCATATAAGCAGTAGACAATGCCAGAAAAAATGGCAGAAGAACGACGGGGAATATGAGACAGAGTAGTGTCCTCATCTATCCCCTATTCTCCCTCTCAAATGGGTACTAGACGTTCTGGGCCAGGTGCCACTATGCTTTTCTTAGCTCTATGGCAACGCCTCCCATCAGCTGGCAAGATGACGAAGTATAACCGAGGAAGTGGCATTCTACATATCTGAGTTATAGTGAAAAATGAGGGAACTGTCCAACTCTGCCCAGTTGGCTTGCAGATTTTCTAAGTTCCCTAGGAGAGATCTGACAAGCACAAAGCTCTGCAGTCACCTGTACAGCCCTGCTTTTCCTAGTATTTATAATTCAACTGTCTTCTCCACTGCCCTGACCTCCAAAGTCTTTTGCACATGGCAGCAGCAGCTCCTTAGCCATTGGGGCAGAACCAAGCAACTGTGTAGGAACAGAAGATGAGAGAGCAGAGGATGCTGGAACATCAGCATTCAGGCCTTGTGCCACTAAGCAGTGTTTTCCAAGAAATGCTTTCAGAGTATGCTCATATTGGTAAAGTAGTGGTAACCATTTAAAAAAAAAAGACAGAAGGAACATAAGTAGAAGATTTGTTTTATTACAAACTCTTAGAAGATTTAAAATTTACAGTGAAACTGAAAAATATCAGACTGGTGCAGTATAAGATGTAGCAAATTCCACACAACGTAGTGATCCAGAGGAAAAGAGGCTCCCGAGCTCATTAGGAGGCCACCTTGGGAGGAGTTCAGGCAGCTGCCCGGGAAGCCTGCCCCCATGAAAGAACAGCCGCAACAACTGAATAGTGGTGGCGCCCATGGCCGGCCACCTGCCTCCCACAGGGATCCCCACAAGACCTGTCAGGTAGCCAGTGAGGAAGGTTCTCAGCCTCCACAGGATATAAAAGGGGAAAACTGCTGAGGGGAGGAGGGGCAAGGTGCTAGGAACCCTCTCTCCTCCCGATTCCAGTGGGTGGCAGCCACAGGTGATGTCAGAGAATCGGTCAGGATGGTCCTCTGGCACCCTCTTCACTACACTGCTTATTATGTTGTTGTGTTTCACGGTTAACATAATACTAGAGCAGGGGTGTTTCCCTTCATGCTGGGCCGAAGAAAAGGACTGCCCCTCCCGAGTTCACTGTGCACCAAAATGACAGGAAGATCCCTTTAACCTCTGGAGCAGCAATAACTTCCCTTGCTGTTCCTATGTGTCCTGACAAAGTCAGACTGACCTGGCCCCTCCCTAAATCCTTCTGCATGAGGCACAGGCAGCATCTGTGGCAACCAGAAATAACGCCTGGCTACCATCAACCAAAATATGTGGCCTTCAAAGTAGCTAATTAAATAAATCAAAGCAGAGAGGTAAGCCTCAGCGTTCACGAAATCTTTGGCTGTTTCTTACCTGTTCTGTGGATGAGGCTCACCCGCAACTTTCAACTACCCACACACATAAGTGGAAGTTTATTATAAGGCAATCCAAAACTGCAGTCCAAATATGGCACAGAAAGACACACAATACTCAAAGAAAAAGAAATCAAAGGCTGTGTTTAAAAATATAACAAAGCTGTGATATGGCTCACCAGGCAACTCATCTGACACGACCATTAGCTGGCACTACACAACTGTGACATACGAGACAGATGGACGTCAAAATTCTGTGGAAAATTAACACAACTGCCAAATTTTGAACCATTTCAGCAAACATACACTCGCCCCTGTAGTTTACGGTGAGAGAGCTGGCCGTACTTCTTTATGCGCACGAGAAGGCAAGTGGCGCAGCTCACATGCTGGAGTCTAGACAGTCGAGACACATGAGAAGACAGGAGAGTTTCCAGAGTCTACAAGAGAAGAGATTAAAGTCTAGATGAGGATTCAGCACAAGTGTAGATGGAAGAAATGTCATACTGAGGAAGTACTGAGGTAAAGGAAACAGGGAGAGTCATGCTATGACAAGTTTAGTAACAGTCAACAGGTTCAAGGCAGACAAGGTTACAGACAGCAGAAACACGCAAAGTTTTCATGAGAGGCTACCTTTGAGCCCCTTTTTACATCACTTTTGATCTTTCTACATCAGCATTTTGTCTTTGAAAAAAATTATTTGTAATGCAAAGGAGTTTTCTGGCCAAAGTAAATAAGACTTATCTGATCTTGAACTGCATTTTAAATCATTTTAATGGACTACAATCCAAATGCGGGCATTTATAGCTTTTTACAAATTCTGCACTTATCCCTACAGTGTATGCTCAATAGCAAATGCGTGCACATATTCAGAATGCAATTCCAGCTTTATAATCTGTCTGGGTTGCAGCCTGAAGTTTTAGATGCCAGCCAAAGCAGAAGGCCAGAATGTTTGGCAAAACCAAATTTAATCCAGCACTCCATACCAGTCTTTTGTTTATTGTTTCTGAGGCTGAAACATTTCTTTTCTATCATCTCACTGCAATAAAAGCCAAAACAAACCAGTTTTAGAATAGAAACAGTAAACATCACTGTTCAGGTCTTGATCATGCTTTTCCACCTAGCACTGCCTGCAGCTGCTCCCCCTTTTCTTCTCTCCAACCTACCTAGCCACTAGTTGTTACAGATTTTCCAGGCTGTATGGCCATGGTCTTGGCATTGTAGGACCTGACGTTTCACCAGCAGCTATGACTGGCATCTTCAGAGGAATAATACAGAAAGATTCTCTGTGTCAAGGTGAGAAGAAAAATGATAGGCAGGTAATTTATACCTACTCAGGAAGGTGGGGTAGGGGCTGAGTCATTATCTTGTAGGAGTTCCCTAGGCTGTGACATGCTAATGGAGAAGCTTTCATGAGGAGTTTCTTTTGCATATGGACTGGCTGTTGAAATTCTAATCTTATCTGTAGTGCTATTGTAAGATGGCTACCTAGACACCTTTTACTATTTCTTTCCCTCCGTCTCTCACCCACTCCCCTTTTTCAAGATGGGTAGCCGTGTTAAGTCTGTCTGTAGCAGCAGAAAAGGGCAAGAATCCAGGAGCACCTTAAAGACTAACAAAATATGTGGCAGGGTATGAGCTTTTGTGAGCCACTGCTCACTTCTTCCTTTTTCAGTTCTCTTCCCATCTGCAGTTTTTTCCCTTTTACTTTTTTTGTTCCTCCCCCTATCAGCTTTACCTTCCCTCCTATCTTTCCTCTTTTTTAGTCTCTCTTCCTTCCCCCAAACCCCAAATGAAACTTGGTATTCTCAGCAATGTTGGTTCCAGGTTGCTTAACAAACCTAAAATCTCAGTGTCATCTTGCTAGATCTTAGTGGCATTTTTTAAAAAAGAAGCAGATACTGTTTCTATGACTTGGGGAATTTTCTAACCACTAACATATTTTTTACATGTCATGTTTCTTCTGCAAAACTGGGGCTTCTACCAGTTTTGCAGAACAATACCCACTGTCAGTGGCCTTACTGTGTGCATTTCTGATCCACACCCTATCACCTAGTTCAGAATAAGTTAACGATATGTCAATATAGCATCTGCACATAGGATTTCAACAATCAAAGTTAATCATACAAGGATAATAGTATTCAAGGATGCTAGAGAATAATGGGCTCAAAATGTTTCTAATAAAGATTATGCAATTACAGCACCCAACAGAGCACAAAGATTTGTTTTATCATCTGCATTAAAGTGAAGAGAACATAACTTGTTCGGCAGTTGGACTATTTATGGTAGAAAAAATAATTTCGTGGAAAATGACATATTATACAAGCCTTATTGGGCAGGAATGACATTTCAAACCTGAATGTAATTTTCTTATTAAAAAAGATGTTATGTATTCCTCACACACACAAAAATCCTAGGCAATAGTTGATGCATATAATTCACCCACCACAGAAATTACTTAAGCACTCCTTTTGCCAAAATCAATCAATCCTTTACACTATGCTACGGGACTCTTGTTCTTTTCTACTTTACACTACAGTTTATCTACAGAAAACATGAAGTACGGTCTAGTGCAGTAGTCAAGAGAAGAATTTTACAAGTGTCAGCTTCCAGCCAGCCACACCACCACACAATGAGGGGACCATGCCCAACTACTGCCTCAAAGAGGATTCATTCCTGAATTGGTTCTTGGCAAGCCTCCACAGAACAAGCAACAAGCAATGCTGGAAGCTGATGGCAAAATATGAACATGGTGCCTTTGCCATGGACTGACATACCCCAGGAGTCCCATAAAGTGATTGCGAGAGTCTTCTGCAAACAAATAAGGATGCTATGACTGGACTCTCCCTGTTTAAGAATCCTTTGGTGTAGGGTTTGACCTAACAACATCAACTACACCATCTCAGGCTCATTCACTTGCTCATCTTCTAACATTGTATATATCATTAAATGCCAACAATGCCCTTCAGTTCTCTACACAGGGCAGATAGGTCAAACCCTACACCAGAGGATAAATGGACACAAATCTGACACCAAGAATCACAAAACTGAGAAACCTGTAGCGGAACACCTCAACCTTCCAGGACATTCCATGGGGGACCTCAAAGTAGTTTTTCATTGCAAAAGAATTTCAGAAAAAGACTAGAACAGGAGATGGCTGGGTTACAAGTTGTTACAACACTTAGGACAATGGAACCCACAGGGCTTAACAGAGATATCAGTTTCTTATCTTACTACACATGCTAATGTCATTCAGTCCTTGCATCTGCTTTGAAACTCTTATTATGCTGTATGCTAATTTGCTGCTATTCACAGGTCTTACCAAATGCCTTAATCCAATCTTAACTATATTTACTGCTCAGCTACTTATGCATCTTGACTCTACTTAGCCCTTCCTGGCAACACCCTCCCCACCCTCTACCTATATGTAATGTCTGGTGACTTCTGTTTCAATGTATCCAAAGAAGTGTGCATGCACATGAAAGCTTATACCTAGAATAAAACTGTTGGCCTTAAAGGTGCCACTGGAATCAAACTTTGTTCTGCTGCTTCAGACCAACACAGCTACCCACCTGATACTATATCAAATAATTGTACAGCTTTGTTCATTAAGAAAAAAGACACAGTCCCACCTCTACCAATTCAATGACATGCTTAAACCTACTGTCCTGTTCTCCCATGCAGCAAAGAACAATCTCTAAAATAACATCCCTTATGAGCTTTTACCGTTCTCCCTGTTAGCTTTTCTGAAGCTTACTCCAGACATTTCTTACACCAATACTTCATGTGAACCTTCCTGTCAATAACTGCACACTCAGGACGCCACCGACTACCGCCACAAGAACAGAACAACAACCGAAGATCCGCCGCAACAAGGTTGCCTGGTAGGGTTGTCACCACCCCTGTATATCTGTGGCCCTAGGTTAGATTCGGTAATGTGATTAGCACTCCCTGTAAGCCGCCCAGAGACCCTTAGGGGTTAGGGCGGGATAACAAATCGAATAAATAAATAAATAATGTACCCCCAACCAATGTTCCCTCCAAGCTGTGGAGTCTTGTGTGCAAAAATGCTACTTTGTGAGCTACTGGCATTAAAGTTGTGAGCGAGCGATTTGGCTACTGCATAACTTAGTTTGCTCCAGAGCCATCCTTCCTGAGCGGAGACAAAAATGTGTGAGCCGAAGGCTAAAATACAGCGAGCTAGCTCACACTAGCTCAGCTTAGTGGGAACACTGCCCCCAACACTTTTCTTTCTAGAGGAAGAATGCCAGTGGCTCCATTCAGGCATCACAAACAATGGATAAACACACTATGGTTTGGCATAATGCCTGAATCAACAAGTCATGGCTTGCAACTTGCTAGCAAACCAGAGTCAGAAAAGTGTATTTGGAGCAGTTTTGCAAACCACGCTTGTCTTATTGTTTGGCATGACACAGTACAATATATTTAGGCTATAATGTACATGATACCTTAAAGTAGCAAGCAAAAAGAAAAAGAAAAAAGCTCCCTCCCCCAAACTGTGGAGCAACTACATGTTCTTGGGGTTTATTTTAGCTGGGATGAAAAGTAAGGGAGGCCCCGGTCACACAGTAAAGTTGCGGGAGAGGCACGGATGGTGGGCGGATTATCCGGGCGCAGTCACACCCCAACATCTGGGAAGTGGAGCGCACCCATGGCTTACCGCTGACAATGCGAGTTAAAAAACTAGTACTTCCAAGGTACTAGTAAAAGTTTGCCACGGGCTGCCTCTAGACGCCCGTGGTGTGATCGCGCCGGCACGCAGCATTCCCCTCTGGTCCCTCATTTACTCGCCAGCGCCGAAGGAAGGACTGGTGGTGTGCCACCGGCACGCCTGATCGCATAATCGTGGATCAAACTGTGCCGGGGCAATTAGCCACGCCTCCCCTCCCCCGCGATATCCAGCCCGTGTGACTGGGGCTGGACCAAGTAAAAGAGGCCAGAGCAGAAATGGCTTTTGAGAAAGGAGGAGGCAGCTCCACACAGACCTTCAGGTAAAGCAGTTACTTCAGAAAGAAGAAGAATTTGGAATTACTGAAAGTGGATGAGCAACAGTCAGAGGTCAGAAATATAGTACGGACCAAGACCATAAAGAGCTTTACTGTTCAGGACAACCTTGTGTTAAATGTTGAACAGGATGGGGGAGGGCAGATGGCCTGAAAAATAACTACTCCTATAGGTGATAGAATTCAGGATAGTGGTTACATGACCAACATGTAACAAAGGAAGGCTAGAGGGAATAAAGTTGCTGTAGCCAAGGCCAGTCCGAGAATGAAACATTTTAACCAAGGGAGGATTTCCACAATTTGTACAGAAAGAAACTGCGTGACCGATGAGACTGAAAATGGGGAACAAAGGAAAGTTTAGACTTTGTCTGCTAAACAGTGACTGTGGTCACACACACTAAATAAGCCACTTTCAATGCACCTTCCAAGTGGATTTTTACTGTGTGAACTGGCAAAATCCAATTTGAAAGTGCATTGAAAGTAGATTATTTAGTGTGTGTGACCACAGCCAGTGTAGATAAGAATGTCAAATGCAGAAAATAATTGAGGATACGAAAGCTTCCAGGGGTTAAGTTGGAAGATAATAATGTCAACTGCAGAAAATAATTGATACGAAAGCTTCCAGGGGTTAAGTTGGAGTTTAATATTGTGTTCTAGATAGCAACAGAACAGAAAAGAAATGGGTAACTGAAGATACAGGGACAAAGAATACATCTCTCTACTGGAAAAGCAGGTAAATCAAGGGTCAAAGAGAGCCATCTACCAACTTCATTTTGCCTAAGTAATGTCCTCTTTTTTGGACTCAGCCAACCTAGCCACACTAATCCATGTACAGTAATCTCAAGACTGGATTACTGTAACACACTTTACCCTGAAGTCTTTGAGAAAAGACACGTAGTTACAAATTGAAGAAGTCTCCTGTGTACTCAGACACAAATCTGAAAACATCATAAACACGATTTTCCAGATGTCCTGTCCAGACATTGAGGGGATGCAGATCCACTTTGCTTCAGCAAGGTGGCTACATCACCTACCTTGCAACCATATCCTGGGAGCCACATAAGAATCTGACTGCGGTGGTCTGCCCATTTACTTATAAGTCTCATGGTAAGCTCAGAAGAGTTTTCTCCCAAGAAAGCCCACTCAGAATAACTGTGACTCTTTGAAGCAAGCCCCACTGAATCCCTTGAGACTAACATCCCAAGTAAACTAGCCTAGCTCAGTCTCTTAATACCAGTTTACCTTACAGCAAGCCACAATAGAATCAGGAAGAATTTCATTTCCAAAGGAAGAAGCTTGAGCATCTCATGACCTACTTATCAGCACCACGCATTCCAGGAAGATCTTTCTCCCTAACATGATCTGTTTCTGATTCAATCGTGAGTCATTCAGTCATGTGCACCCCACCTGCAGCCTATACCCTTCAGCCAAGACACAGGTTGACTACCAGGGCAAGAACGAGACCTGAGTCGCATATGTTCCAGCGCAAAGAGCCAGGGATCAGTAACTTGGCTCCAAATTACTGCCTGGATTGGGAACTCTCTGGATAGTCTTGAACAAGCCACAGCCTGTCAGGCTGAGAGCCTCATCATGCACTTGAGGGGCAAGTGCCATCTACTGTCATCACAAGGCGCCAGAATGGCTCAAAAAGTGCTTAAAAGCTATAACTATTGCTACATTTTCCATATCCTTCTATCATGAAGCACAAATAGCTCCCTCCCCTCCATAGCTAAGGTTTCCCTTGGTCAAAAGCCATGAAGCACAAATAGCTCCCCCCTCCCTTCCATAGCTAAGGTTTCCCTTGGTCAAAAGCCAGCCGTATCCAACTCTAGGGATGCGGTGCTCATCTCCGTTTCCAAGCTGAAGAGCCAGCGCTGTCCGAAGACATTTCTGTGGTCATGTGGCCGGCATGACTAGATGCCGAGGCACACGTAACGCTGTTACCTTCCCACCGAAGTGGTACCTATTTATCTACTTGCAATTTCTTGCTTTCGAACAGCTAGGTTGGCAGATGCTGGGGCCAGAGTCGGGAGCTCACTCCATCATATGGCACGCAGGTCTCGAACTGATGAACTAGTGACCTTCCACAGCCTGCAGTTCAGCGTCTTGACCACTGAGCCACCTGTTCCATAGCTACTGGGGGGCTACTGGGGGCTCTGTCTCCTTCTTTAAAGGGTCACCCCCTTCCTCCCAAAAGCATTTAAAGGATCCCTTTAAATGCTTTTCGGAAGACGTCGGGTGGCCGCGTACACTCCTCTCCCTCCCCTTCTGCAAGATTTAAAGGGCCCTTTAGCTGATCCATGGGAGCACGTGGCCATAAAATCAGGTAGAGGAACCTTTAAATCTTGCAGGAGAGGGAGAGGGGCGCGCCGCCACCCCCACCCCCCATGGCAATTAATGGCGTCCCCACCAGGAAAAATATTTGACCCACAAGCCACAAAATCCTGGCTACAGGCTCTGCCTCTTTTCACCCTCACAACAACCCTGCGAGGTGGGTAGGGCTGAGAGTGAGAGAGACTGGCCTGAGACCACCCAGTGAGCTCCGCAGCTTAAAGGTACGAAGACGGGTCATTCCCCGTCCTGCCTCCGCGGCCCCCTACGGCCAGGCTCCCCCGTCCTTCCCCGCCCGCCACCGGCCGACTCACCCACAGGTCCCTCTCCGAGCGGTAGAGTCCGAGCCGGCCCAGCCCCACGGCCAAGTCGTGGACGCAAAGGGCGCCGTCGCGGTTCACGTCGAGCAGGCGGAAAAGGCTGTGGAAGCGCCGCTCCTGCTCCAGGAGGCACGGGGGGGAAGAGCTCGCCTCGCTGGCCGGCAGCTGCCCGGAGGCCGCGGGCGATGTCGACGTGGCCGCGGCGGCACCACCGCCGCACTGACAGAGGACGCCGCTCACCACCGGGGAAGCCAGCGACCGCCGTGCGCCAGCCGGCATAGCCGCCTCGCAGAGCCGCTCGCCGGTAAATGGCGCCCTGGCCCAACGGAAGCGGCCTGAGTGAGCGTCCCCCTCACGCAGAGGAGCAGCAGCAGCCGCCCGCCCCGAGCCTGCGCGCGCCGCTCGCCGATTGGCTAAGCCGGGCGGCTCGCGCCGGGGACGGTGCCACCCACAGGCCAAAGCCCAGCACGTGACTCGCGGCGGCCCGCCCAATCGGAAGAAGGGATGGGGCAGACAAAACGCTCTTGTCTAGACAGGATGGGAGAAGCTTTAAAAGGCGGCCGGGGGGGCGGGGGAGGAAAGCAGCGATTATGTCATGGGCACGTGACGGTATCTTTTCGCCCACTTCTGTATCCACAAGCGGGGTTTTACGCTGTGACGTAAAGACGGAAGGGAAGCTGGTACCTCAACTCCCGTCAGGTTTCCCCAGGCCAATAAGATTAAGGGAAAGGCAGACGCCGTGAAGCGATTGGCAAAAGATTTGCCTTTGTCAGTGAAAAGGTGACCTATTGGATGGCGGAACGGCAACGCGGAGAGCCAATAGCACACGTCAAAACGAGTTGAAAGGCGGAACTTGGAAAAAATGTCATTGATGGGGCGGGTTTTCGGTTTTGAAGCTTGACGGACATACTCGGCACCCAATGCGTGGCAGAATAACGCGATGCTTCGCAAGGCGGGTGGAAAATAGAGGCAGGAGGCCGGGCCAACCGGCTCGCGCTCTCAAAACAACGCAAGGGGGGCTATTTCCGCGTCCAGCTCGCAACCAATGGCAGCGGCGTAGGGGAAGGGCGGAAACCCGGATCCTTGATAGGCAGGACCGTTGCCCAATGCGAGGACAGAGACGTGAAAGGCCGATTCTAGAAGCCATTACGCCACTGCCGCAAACTAGAAGCTCTCTTTGGCGCGGGTTCCGCCGGGTGGCCGCGGTACGCAATTTGCGTAACTGGATCCGTCTTAAGGGGAGGGAGCGGGAGGAAGCAGGCCCCTGAGAGACCCCTTCGGGGGGGACACGGTGGTCCCTTGGGCCTGGAAGGCTCGAGCCCCACTTGAGGCGGGTTGTCTCCCGAGGAGGAAGAACACCTTCCCTGCGTGGGCCTCAGGGCTTTGGGCCCTGCCTGAATTTCCTTTCAGCTTCTCATCTAGGCCTCCTGAGCCCCCCTCTCAGCCTTCTCTGATTCCAGAAAAAAAAACCCTCCCCGATTTTCTTTTCTATTAGGCTCCTTTCAACATCCCCCCCCCATTCCAAACCCACTGAGTTTCCTTCTTTGCATCCTCTTCTATTTTTCTGCCTTTTATATGGCCTGCGCACCCCCCTACTTCCTATTGTTCTCTTTCTTCATCGTCCCCCTTCACTGTATGGATTCCCTTTTATGTTCAAGAGCCTCCCCCCCCCCTTTTCTTGATTTTCTTTTTTCTTCCCCCATGTCCCCCTCCCCTTCAGTTACTCTTTTGAAAATGTGGACCTGTTTGCCTGCCTCGTGCCGCGATCCTGTTCAGTGGAGCTTATTGCGTGTAAAGTTGGTCTCCTGTGCAAGTGTGCGCTTTTGTGTTGGTCCTGGCATGGCATGGCACGTCTCTTTCCTGATCCGCTCCTGCCCCGCTCCCCCTCATTCATCTGAGACTTCATACTCACCTTTCCTGCATCTTCTGTGGTTAACAAGTGCCCTCTCCCCTATGTGTCCTCCTGGGTTTCCTGTCTTCATCTCTCCCCCCCTCCTATATGTACTCAATTTTTTCTCTCTCTCTCTCTCTCTCCACCCCAACCAACTACAAAACTTCCACAAAGTAGCCATGTTAAAGTTTACACCTGATACCTGCTTGCCACCAACCAAGATGGTTGCCTTTGACCAAACTGGCCTGTGTATTCTGTGGTTTCCTTCTACCGCTTTGAGCATACAGATCTCTATAAATACATATCTAAACTTACGTTTCCTGTTTTTTACCAGGACCCTGTTGAACTTAGATCTTGCCAGTGTTACCCCTCATAAAGCATCCCTGCCTTGGTCAACAGGCCTAACTTTTTCCATCCTTTTCCAGCGTTCTTCAGCTTGTTCTGCCCCATTGTCACTTGGCTCCCTGCTATTTCCCTAGGCTTCGTCATCCTGGTGTGTCTCCGGACGTGACCTTGAGCTCACAGCTTGCCTGGGCAATGTCCTCTCCCCCAGCGCCGCCGGCTAAAAAGCGGAAGATGAACTTCTCGGAGCGGGAGGTGGAGATCATAGTGGAGGAGCTAGAACGGAGCAAGCACCTGCTAATCAACCACTTCAACGCAGGCGTGTCACTGGCTGCCAAGGCGGCTGCTTGGCACAACATCCAGCGGCGTGTGAATGCCGTGGCCACCTGCCGCCGGGAGCTGCATGAGGTCAAGAAGAAATGGTCAGACCTCAAGACTGAGGTCCGCCGTAAGGTGGCCCAGGTCCGAGCTGCGATGGAAGGAGGTGGCGATGGCCAAGATGGAACTGGGGAGGGCCAAGATGTGGAGGAGCCAACTGGCGCGACTGCGGCTCCGGTTATACTCACCCCCATGCAGCAACGCATTTGTAACCTGCTGGGAGAAGCCACCATTATAAGCCTGCCTGCTGGAGACTGCACTGCTGCAGATGGGTCTGAAATTCCAATCACAGCCGCAGCCACAACTGTCACTCTAACCCAAAGTAAGTGAGTCGTTTATACAGCCGCAGCCCTTTTGGCTAGTTCAGAAGGGTTCAGCTTGAGGGGGAGCAATCACTGTGCGTTAATTCGCTGTAAGCTGCCAGCGAGATTAGCACAGTTGACATTTTTTATCTGAAACTAGTACACGCTCACATGGAGTCTCGTGACAGCCCAGGTGAGTAGATTTATCGTGACGTACGTGTGGGCTGGCACGTACTTCGTCGGACGCACTAAGAGTTGCGTAGGTTTTTCAAAGTAAGCTCAGAGTCCCTGAAAACTGATAAGTCTGTAAGTACCACAAGACTCTCTCTCGGTTTTGTGGCCACAGATGCTCGCACCTGCCCTTCTGCAATTTAGCTGACAACAGTGAGGGAGAGAATTTTGTTTGTGTTATTTCTATCCCACTTTTCCGAAAGTTGATTTCCTCAACATGATTTATGGTTGGGAAAAGATGCAGAAAGAAACTGGATGGGGTCCGTGTGGGAGGTGTGGAATCTTCTGCCTCCGCATACAGTTCCCTTCAGGAAATCTTGGAGGGGAAGTTCTCTTCTGTTTAGGGATTAGGTGATCAGTGGTTCTGGAAACAGAAGAGTTCTTCATCACGTATCAGCTTCTGGTGACCAGCCTGTCTTTTGTCAGCTTTCTTCATCAGTTCCTATTGCCTCACACATTGTCTGCAGCTGGCACTCCGTGGTGTGGTGTGGTGTGTGCCGGTGGAGTTGTGGGTATCTGGTCTTGCTGTTTGGGTAGTGAAGGGCAGGGTATAAATCCAATCTCTTCTTCTTCTGTTTGGCTCCTGGTATCCAAACCTGGGGGAGGGGGGATGTCCATGTAGAAATGCATATATAAACACCCTCACTTCCAAGTATAGGGCAAGGGTGGGTTGGAGGAGACCACAGAAGAAGACTGCTGAATTTTCTCCAATGGAAAAACAAGCCTGATAAGAAGTTGCGTATCTGTACGATTCTTTGTTAGCTTTCTTACTCTAGCCCAGTGATACTCAATGGTAGGGATGCCAGGTAGTGACCCAGCATCCTTGGGATCTTTGGGGACAGAAAAAAGGGCAGAAATGACGTCTAGCTATATGCTGACTGGATGTGATGTCAGCACGTCAATTGATTCTCTAGAAACTCTATGGTATTGCCATAGAGTTTTTAGAGCAGTTGCTGACATTAGCAAGTAGCCCAATGTCATTTCTACCCCCCCCCCCCACTGTTTCTTTGCCGGTGCAAGAGGGGGGGGTTTCCCTAGGAGTGCAAGTTTGTTTGGGAACCACATGTGGCTCTTTAACATGCCACTTGTGAGCTGTCCCCAGCATGGCACCTCTTCCATGTTTCAGGAAAGTGGCTATGGCCAATGTCTGATGGGGCTTGTGGTTGGCTGGTGGTTCCCACTCAGCACAGAGAGTGGTTCTAACCACGCTGTCTCTTGCAACACTAGAGTTCAGCTTTTAGCAAAAGGAAGCATAGGGGCCGTGGCTCAATGGCAGAGCATCTGCTTGGCACACAGAAGGTCCCAGCCAATGTTCCCTCTAAGCTGTGGAGTCTTGTGAGCAAAAATTCTACTTTGTGAGCTACGGGCCTTAAAGTTGTGAGCGAGCGATTTGGTGACTGCATAAATCAGTTAGCTCTGGAGCCGGCCTTCCTGAGCTAAGACAAAAGTCTGTGAGCTGGAGGCTAAAAAACTGTGAGCTAGCTCACACTAACTCAGCTTAGAGGGAACACTGGTCCCAGCTATATGGTCAGAGGTAGTCTGGCAATTTAAAAGGTTATAGTTGTGGTTCTTCAAGCTGACAGTGATTGCAAATGTGACTGTGAGCGGTGGAGTGAATACCACTGCTCTATACTAAGCCTGCTCATTTCACTAGGCTTAGACTGATGAAACTACATATGCTATTTGTCTGCCAACTGACTACTTGAAGCACTCTGTTCAAAATCCAACAAGGTAGGAAACTGCAAAGTAGTAGCCCCCTGAATCCTGATGCTTAGTTCCTTGGTGATGATGAGTCATGTAGCTGTCTGAATGTCTATGTCATTGCCAAAACAACACACAACTGTTTGATCTAATTGTGGAAGGCACCCAGTTTCATCTTACTAAAAAAAATTCTTGCTAAGTTAGTTTCTCCCTTTCTTGTCCACTCATAAGAACATAAGAGAAACCATGTTGGATTACAGAGCATCACTGCCCCAGAAACAGGGTTCCATCTATACCTTGTGGCTAAGAGCCACTGATGGACCTCTGCTCCGTGTTGTTGTTCAGTCGCACAGTCGAGTCCGACTGTTTGCGACCCCATGGACCACATCACACCAGGCCCTCCTGTCTTCCATCGTGCTCCAGAGTTTGCTTAATTTCATGTTTGTTGCCTCGTTAACACTGTCTAACCATCTCATCCTTTGCCATCCCCTTCTTCTTTGACCTTCAGTCTTTCCCA